ACATGACTGAACTTCTCCGATCTGAAAATGTGGACATTTTACCGAATCTCAAGCCAGCCTTAAATGCCTTGCAGTATTTAAAAGAACTACTTCAAGATAACAATGCTGGATACTTGGATCATGAAATAATTCTACAAGTGAACGCTTATGTACTGGATAAGCCTTATGAAAGCCTCATTACTGTTTGAACGATATATTCTGTACGTTTCAAGGGTCACTCCTGTTGTATTCAAGTCCTGAAGACATCTATGACGAGATGACAAGACTGATAGACACTTACAACGCAGTCATTTATTCTGGACGAAATATCACAGCAGAACAATTAACAACGTTTATTCTTGAGTTCCTGAAGTCCCACCCCTTCAAAGACGGAAACGGACGCTCAATTAAATTGCTTTTGTGGTATATATTAAAGTTTAGGCAGCAGAGAAAAACGTTAGCTTATAAGCACATGAAGAACCAAGAATGGTGTAAATCGATATTTTTAAAGAAAACACATTCTATCCAACAGTGGATTGATGGTATCATACAAAATAATTAATCAAATAAAGTTGACGAGTTCAAGTCTTGCACTCATGATTTCCTTTAGTTTTTCTTTCTTTGTGATCTTGTCTTGTGCGAAGACGTAACAGTGAAACCAAAGGGCAAGATTTTCATAGAAGAGATTCGTTCAGTGATCGGGATTGTTGTTGACTCTCTGCGAAAGGTCACCAAACGCTGTGTGATTTYGTTCTAATGCTTCCATCTTCCAGTGAAGCAAGAGAGCATCATAGGTGTCACACGATGCTGGATAGACTCGAATGGCTCTTGAGGGGTACCTTCGAAGTATTCGTTGCAAGAGTATGTCCATAGGAGGCTCGATTTGGGAKGGTAGGCCAGGTGGAATGAATTCTGTAATATAGGGGCACATTCTCGCACAAACGATGTTGACTAGACAGATCGGGTATTGTTTGTTTTCGTCGAACCCTTTGATGATGTTAAAGATCCGCWTGTAAAAAGCAGTTTCAGGATAGGTTTGCTCGTCGTCATCACTCATWCTGATCATCACTTCTTTTGCGATGTTTAGTTTCATTGTAACCAAATGAAACGCCAGAAGATCTTTGTTGTTCAATGTGCGTAGTTTGTAGTTCTTTGCGCTTGGAGGGATTCGTAGTGTGTCTTTTCTAAACAGTAAGATGACCTCCTTCGTCGTCCCGTCGCAGGTTGAGCAAAACAGCTCCAGCGATAGAATTTTTTCAAACACGCTCTAGTTTGGCTTTTTGGCGTGGAAGTGAGAGCCGCTTTTATTGAAAAAAAATAAAAATAAATAATTGTACCGTATGTAATAAAATTTATAAAATGTATATTGTTATAGAAGACACTCACACAGATTCATCAAGATAGAAATAGTGCTCGTGCTTTTTCCGCCAAAGAGAAACGGGATGGCTTTCCTTAGACGGTTGCTGCCAATCTTTAAATTGTKCGGTGTTTTTAAAGGGCTCTATGAGCATGTTACCGATGGTATATGAATTGCCAATGGCCATAGTTACAGAAGTAGTCGATGGAAGGGATAAGTCATTAAAGCTAGACATTGTTTCAAGGCCGTGTCGAAATAGTTTTATGTCCAATCTAACAGAGTGTGTTGTTTTTGCACTCCTCAAAATCCAAAATGTCAGCACCACCAAGCCCCACCTCTCCACCCCCCCCCCCCCCCCCCCCCCCACCCCCCTGGGGTTAGATGAGTTACTCCCGTAGGTATGATATATTATATGATAACTTTATTTATCCACGGTAAATCCTCCAGGTAAATATAAAAAAAAAATATTAAGAGAAAAATATAATAAGCTACATAATCTAACTACATCTATAAAATATGGACATATAGTAATGAAAATAAATAAAAATCCTGCTTTACAAGGATGCTATAGTGATGATAAATAATATTAATCAGAAAAGTGGAATTCACTTGGAGTGATACGTATATAGGGTATGGTGCGGCGATCATGTTATTGTGTGCAGGCAGCGGTATTGACATATCTGACCTATTTGCATAGGACTTTGATCATCGCGTGATATGTACGTGATGGAATGCAATGATGCTCTCTTTCGTATATTGATTGTGCTGAGATGCGTAAGCCATATTATAAATTGCTTGTATTTATGTAATTAACTCAGTATAGTATAACCCTTTTTCCCGCTGTTTTCAACTTTTTTTTTCTTTCAATTAATTTTGACAAAAGTGAAATTATAATCATTTATTCATTTATTTCAAATTATTGAATAATTTATTAATTATATTAATTTTCATAATAAAATGACTGTCCTGCCTCGATCCGCTTTATGCTATTTGCAGGACTGTACTTAACTTTTACACTATTTATTTATAAACTTGTCTTGTTTCTTGTGCAGATTTTTGAAAGTTTTTTGATAGTACCCTCTGTATTGAATCTAGCAAAGTAGGTTGTTGCACATGAAAATCCAAAATGTCAACAATGTACCTCACGGGTTAGATTTGTTACTGTCGGGGGTCCTGTGCGTCGATCATGTTATTGCGTGTATTCAGTGGCAGTGACATTGACCTTTTGCATAGGACTTTGATCATCGCGTGATATGTACGTGATGGAATGCAATGACGCTCGCTTTTTTTATATTGATTGTACTGTCGTACAGCCCTCATTGCTTTCGAGAATGGATCAGCGAGAGGATGACATGCAGTTTTTTGAAAGTACCTCGTTTGAAAACGAAGAGGATGTCGGGGGGATTCACGATTATATTCGTCAATTTTGTCTGGAACTTGAGCAACAACGTGAGCGAGAAGGAGAAAATGTTCAAGTTGCAGGTGCTGTGACGACAAGAGCTGCTGCTGCTCGAGCTGTACAACCCGATCGAGTAGCTTCTTTTTCATCATCAGAGGAAGAAGAAGATGGAGACGAGAATGAAGAACGAGAGGTAGAGAGACATCAAAGAGCGCTTCCGAGGGTGATTCCCTTGGCTGGGTCTCCGATGACTGGGAGACTTGTGGAGTCCGAAAGAAAGAAGTTGACTCGATTTAATCTTGAATCCATCAAAGCGAGATTGGAGTTAGTGAACCCAGAACCAGTGTCAGATGCAAAGGAGGCCGTTTTGATTTTGTCAAAAACACTAACCAGAGTGGTGAGTCACTTCAAAGATGCGTCAGAAGAAGCAGGCTCAAGTGACGTTAACATGTTTTTACGAATCGATGCTGCCGCTCTCGACACACCCATCGTGATGTCTTTGATGCACGCTCATGAACTTACACTGGAAAGACTACAGACGAAGATCGAACATGTCGTTCAATCGAACAAAGAGTTCATACTGCAAGGTGTTTTCGATGTACAAGCCATGATCAGCTACCAGCCGCCAAAGGGTTCTGCTGGCGGATGTGTGTTTATTCTAGATGAGTGCGAAGTAAGTTGAGAAGAAGATGAAGATGATGTGGAAGAAGACGACGACGAAGCAGGAGGTGAGGAGGACAGCGACGGAGATCAGTTTTCTGACGATCAGCTTGCTTCTCTGGGAGGGCAGTCCAAAGGTTTTGGGAGATTGTGGCAGGCGACGAGCACTAGCAGTCAAAGGCTTTCTAAGAAGGACTGGATGGTGAAGAAAAGAGACTGTTTACAATCTTGCTACGATAGGAAATATAACATTATGTGGGAGAAAGAAAGCAGGTTAGAAGATGCAGTTTTTCTGTTACCTAGGGGGAGGTCGGGAAACAAAAGTCAGTRTAGGTCGAAAGCCTATTCCTTTTCACGCGAACAATTCCTTTCAGAACACAGGCAGTGTCCGCAAGATTTGGAAAGTGCGTTTAAGTATTGGGGTCGTGTTCTGGAACGGCGCCACGGTATGTGCTTGGTCGTTGTGAAGGCGAATAGGTTTTGCATTTATGACGAAGTTGTTTATGCSCACGAGTCTCAGTCACAGACTGTGGGGTACGTCATTTGGGTGGAGGGAAAAGATGATCAGCAGCGGGAATATTCAAAGTTTTACTCCACTCTGTTTTTGACAGCCCTTGTCGTTTCACGCACCTACATAGGGATTTGCTTTAAGTGTAAAGTTTTGTTTTCCAAGCAGTGTTACGACGGCAAGCGGGTTTTCAGAGGTCGAGATTGTCATGTGGGGTCGTACGTTTTACCATCTGAATCACACCTTTGCAAAAAGCATCGTGCTGTGAAGAATCTTGATCCTAAGACAGTTTTTGCAAGGGTGGATGCAGGTGGGAGGTTGAAGAGAAATCCTGCTTTTTATCTAGAAAATAAGAAATCGATCATATCGAATGGGGCTAGTGAAGGGTTGTGCTGTGCCACGGCCATTTCTCAATTTGTCTTGCACAGGGAGAAGGGATATGTTTTTTATACGCATGCTAAGGAAGTAGAACAGGCTGCTCGAGCGCTTTATGAGGAAGCGCAAGTTCCGATAGGGCCTTGTGGATTTGAAGAACTCACCAAGTTTCAATCTGTTCTTACTCGAAAGAACATTATGCTCCATGTGATTTACAAATCGRCGGTGTTTCAGGTTTTGTTTAGAGGGGATCTCTGCCAGTTTACAGGGGTTTTGGTGGAAGACATTGCACATTTGTACCTTGTTCATTATGACAACCATTATGTCCTCTGAAACCTCTCAAATTTTTCCCGGGGAGTGTTATTGTTTTTTGTGCGACACGTCTGGGTGTTGCAAAAAAGCATGTTTGCAAGAAAGTGTGTTTCAAGTGCAAAAGACCAAATTTTGGCTGTAAGGAGAGTGATGAGGAAATCTCGACTTGCGGTTTTTGTGGGGTAATCKTTTACAAGAGCGAATGCTTCAGGAACCACTTTGAGAAAAACTTTTCGTTCCCTAAAAARGTTTTGGTTGATGGGGAAGAGGATAAGTATTCCACGTGTCAACGTTTTAAACAATGTGGTGCTTGCCTAAAAGTGATTGACCTGTTGAAGAAAAAGAGAGGTGAGGGAGAGAYACCATTTCGACCTCTTAGTCGCCATGTTTGTGGTGAGAAATGGTGCTCCATGTGCAGTTCGTTGGTGCCCAAGGACCACCTCTGTTTTGTTCAAAAGGTCACCTTACCCGATTACGACRCGTTTCGATTTTTGTTTTTCGACATTGAAGCTCTGGCGTATGAAGAGGACCGCATCCACTGCGTGTGTCTTGTCAAAGCCCTTCATGTGTGTCAGGAGTGTCACGAAGATCAAACCTTTACATCGTTGTGCCCTTTGTTTGAAGGTGGAATGACAAGTCGGATGAAGAYGTTTCATACGCTGGACGCTTTCATGGAGTGGCTGCTGTCTGTTCAGAATCGGGGTACTGTTTGTTTCGCTCACAACCTCAAAGGATGCGACGGACAATTTGTGGTGTCTTGGATGATCAATAACAGCTTTGTGCCCAAAGTGATTCTTAATGGGCGTAAATTAATGTCCATCACTTACCTCGCGCTGTCTTTGTCCCTTAAGGACTCTATGAATTTTGTCCATGCCGGTTTGTCAAAGCTGCCAGGGATGTTTGGCCTTGARGATCAGAAGGGTTATTTTCCTCACAAATTTAACACATCTGCTAATCGCGATTAYGTGGGAGCTCTTCCTGCCTTGGAGTAMTATGCCCCTGAATTGATGACCTCAAAAGAAAGGCGCGAGTTTTTGACTTGGTACGAGAAAGAGGCCGACAAGAACCAAGAGTGGTGCTTAAAGAGCGTCGAAGATCCCTMTTGTGAARTGGACGTGAAAGTTCTTGCTGGGGCGATGATGAAATTCCGAGACGTGAGCGTCKMGACAACAGGAATTGATCCCTTGAAGCAATGTTTGACCTTGGCCTCGTTTACCCTGAAAGATTTTTTCGCCAATCACATGCCAGTCCACAGCATTGGCTCCATTCCTGCTAYAGRCTATCGGCCGCGGCAGAACAATTCCGTAAAGTGCGCGAGTTGGTTTTTGACCCTGAACGCACAAGGTACGATCGATCTTCATAGCTTTAGATCTGTGCTGCACACGCAAGGAGAGGCCTGTTTGCAGGGTATGTACGTGGACGGCTTCGAAGAAAGGACTAAGGTCGTTTACGAGTTTCAGGGATGTTATTTCCATGGATGCCCCGAGTGTTTTCCACGAAGGTCTACTACCAATCCGAAGACAGGGAAGAAGATGGAAGTGGCTTATGAAGAAACGCTCACAAAACTAACCCGCTTACGGCTGTTGGGGCTTCAGGTGTTCGAGATGTGGGAGCACGATTGGGACGAGGTAGAGAACAAAGTGGATGTGGATGAGGACATCAAGGAGACGCTGTCGCCCTTAGACCTTCGCGACGCCATGTTTTGAGGCCGCTGTGGACCTATTTGTCTCCACAAGAAGGCGGA